TATCTCGGAAATCCGTCTTTCTGAGATAAATTATCTCGGAAAGACGTCTTAATAAGTATTTATTCCATGTTTCCATGATAATTATCTTGGAAACTCGGAAACGCGGAAGGTCACTTTAAGCTTCCGTAGGTATACCAAAACGGACTTCGGTCATGTTCCAACTGCGGAGATATAATCAGTGGCGGATCCAGTAAACGGAAAGCTGAATATTCATAGCTTCTTCTCATATAAAATATATGAATTCCCATTGAATAAAAAGTAAATCACCGGCAAAACACTATTTTCAATATGAATTGAATGGACAATCCTGTCTAGGAATTACGCCCAAAAAAAAAAAAAAAAAAAAAAAAATTGGTTCGTGTGGGAATCGAACACACAACCTCCAGGTTTGCTATTCATCATCCACCATCAACTAAACTGCCTTAAAAAACAAAATGGTTCGTGGGGGAATTGAACACACAACCACCAGGTTTGCTATTCATTATATACCTTCAACCAAACTGCCTTTAAAAAAAAACAAAAAAAACTGGTTCGTGTGGGAATCGAACCCACGACCTTAAAAAAAAAAAAAAATAAATAAAAAAAATTTAAAAAAACTTGCCCCGTGTGGGAATCGAACCCACGATCGCCGAGTTTACTACTCCTGATCCAGCATGACTAAACGGAGGGAGGTAAACCGCGGTCCCTAAGCCATAAATGCGATAAACCTAGTACCACACCAAGTACCAGTTAGTCAACTCTAATCTTACTAAAAAAAATTCTTCGTATATATACAATGCAGGTTAATATTACGCATGGTCATGGTGTCAAAAAAAAAAATGGGCCGTGGGCCAAGAGGGTTCATTTTTTGTCTAAAGATGTATAATTAAATTTATAATCGATTTATGATGTACCATCTCCATAACTTACACACTTTTTTTTAAATAGACAAAAATGTTGGAAAAATTCATTATGCAAATTAGAAAAAAATAGACCAATCATGTTACGGGATTGAATGTATTGTACTCGTTGATGACGTCGCGAATTGTGAAATAACAACAAACAACAACCTTTCATGTCCCAGCCTGGGAACCAGTCAATTCGAGTGGATGCCACTTCCAGCGAAGGCCAATTCGAGCGAATTCGAGCGGATTTTTTTTCGAGCGGATGCTAGTTCGAGCGGAAGAAGATCCATTTGTGCGAACAACAACCTGTGCGGGTTATATACGAATTACTTTAAAATTTCTATTTTCGAGCTAACAATTTGCTCAAGCTTTGCCTTGGAGGCAGGGGAAAGCCCCAGTCGGTTCCGGGGAAGACGGGGAAGACGCCTATAGCCTTATGTATAGCAAGTCGTATTTAATGGAATTTTAGGTTAACAAATAATAAAGTTCTATTTGTTCTGAATGTTGGTAAGTGAATCCTATTGGGAATAGAAATTTCCAGAGCCATATATATAAAGAGTTGCGACATTCCGCTCCTTGGTTTACGAAAGTCACGTGGTACACACCGTCCATTTTGTTTCATAATCTTCCCGATGAACACATGCAAAGTATATGTGTTACGTAAGTAAATAAAAAGTAATTCTTAAACAGCATTCCTCCGTACTGCTGTCTCTTATACACATCTAGATGTGTATAAGAGACCAGCGTATAAGAATTCATATGTAATCGAATATTTGCGCGCGTGCGTACTCGCGTAAATTCCGTGCTCGCGTAAATGATTGAAATTAAAATTAGAATTGTTTTCAATTATCGTTAATTCGTCACATTTAAATCAATGAAGACCCGACCTATTTTATTTAATGGTAATCTTTTCTTTGGTTTTAATTGTTTTTAATAGTTATATATTAAATATGTTTTAATAGTTATATATTAAATATGTTTTTAATAGTTATATATTAAATATATATATATATATATATTTCTTAATTATATAAATTTAAATCATTTATCAGTTGCATTATTACACTGTTTACGTTCATCATTAAAATTTTATTTTTATTTTCTCATTCGCCTAGATGCGTTCGGAAAAATATTTAAGCTAAATAAGAAAAAAAAAAATTTTTCCGACCTTTTCTGACGATCTTTAAAGGTTGTTCGCTAAACAATATTAGAAAATGGTTCTTAATTTCAAATCTTTGTACAGCCTGTATAAATACGAATGACAATGAAAATAAA